TTTTATTTTACATTCTTATGCTACTTCGTTTTTATTCATCTGTTATTATTCATGAGTTCCATGGACCGAATATGTACGTCTTCTAGCAAAAGGCAAATTCGTTTTCATTGATTTATTGGTGCTTCACGAGCGAAAAGCGTTCCCAGCGCCGTTTCTCTCAGCGTCGTGATTTAGAGAGAACAAGGAAAAATAATATAGAAGAAGAAAAATGAAACGTCGAAAGACGAAAGGAGAATACGAAACCCTAGGAGAAAATTGCTCGATTCTCTCCCTCTCGATATTCACGACACTAAGCCTTTAGCAAACATTTACACTAGCTATATAGAAATAAGAGTGAATTTCATCGGTAAACATTTCCAAGCTACGTGTACAAACGAGAAGCTGAAGAACGATATTCTTCATACGTAAAAAAGTAGGGATGGCAACTTAATTTCTTATGCAGGCAACGATTGCGTGAATTGAAATCTGAAATTCTTTAATACGTCTTTAGCATTTGACTACAAGCGACATTGTATAAATGTGCTTACATAGCAAAAAATTGCTCATATAACTCAACATATATTGCAAAATATTTCTTTTGATATATACATATATTTCTTTATTTCATACCTCATTTACTTATATATTAATCATAATATAATCAACATGAATCGATATATACGATAAAAACTAAGCAGTAATTTTGATTGTTAAGAATATAATAATCAATACGTCCATTGCTTTAAAAGCTTAACATTATCTTGAACCATATTACAAAAAAAATTTGAATTTCCATATGTGATTTATATTTGTAACTGCGGATCAATTGCAAACAACATAAGAACGGCAGATTCAACAGGTGTTATACTGCAAAATCGCATGAAGCAAAGTCCAAACGATAAGAAAAACAAGAACGAAAATATAATTTACCGTAAGCTGTTACAAGAATTTCATTAAATTTCAATTTCGTCCCGAGTATATGACCGAGTGATATTAGCTAACAAAATATGGTTGAATACACAAATAAAGTATTAATTTCATTTAATTTCGAAATCGAATACAGCGCGGCGACACAGTTGGTTAAATGCAAATATATTAATAAAAGTTTGATAGCACATTAATTATATAGAGTATTTACGTAAAATACAATTCAATGAATAAGATCTATACGTATATTGATATAAATGAACAAATGTACAAGATATTTGAATTATTTACGTCATTTATTTTTGCGTGCGAAACTATACCTATAAATATTGACCGAATATTCATATCCTTCGCGTATATCACGTCTTTTGATTGATTAAACCTTACCCTATTCGCAAAACGCAAAACGAATTATTATCGTACTGATTAATTGACCAGTATATTCAATATAACGATGAAAATATTGATGATCCGAACAAAACAACATCATTATTATATTAATGTGAACTCACACCCGCGTTTTATCAACAAAATTTCATCGACAAAGAGCTCGTTAATAAAGGCATCATTAAGCTAATTAATTTGTTAATTTGAAATTTTATTTTTAAATAAATATCGAATAGAATTGTATCATGTTATTATGCATTCCAGGTTCGATAAGCAACATAGACGGTGCGGAATATCACTGCAACAAAACTGCTGTGCGAAAGGTAATCAGTGGAGTCGTTGGTGCAGCGAGTTCAGTAACTTCGATTCAGGTTGCCAATCTTCTACGATTGTTCAGAATTCCGCAAGTAAGTAAATCTTTCATCATCATTTAAGAAAACTTAAATAAAATTCTTTTGTAAAAAAGTGTTTGTACTATAACATTAATAATTGTCACGCGTATATTTTTCTTATCAAGTAAAATTAGGGAACACTTATACAAACGGCGAAAATTACAAATTTGTTATTTGTGAAGATTTTTACATACAAACATTTATATAAATGTAAAACTATAAATGTAAAACTATAAAAAAATAGATTTTTTATAGAAAATTATTAAAATAAAATGACAATCATTCAGATGGAAAAATATATATGCATATGTTAATATGTTCTTTTATTTTGTAATACGTTCTACCATGAAAATACAGAACTAAGCAATATCATCGTGCTCCTAGAGACTGAAAGATGAAAATGCTAGGTTAGGTGGCAGTAAACCGTGAAAACTTCATTCTTGACGAAAGTTTACAGAACCTGCGGTTTAAAATCTTCCTACCGTGAAATCACCTCATCTAACGCTACTTTTCTTATAAGCCATTCGAGTCTCTTGGCCCATTTTATCTCTCAGCGCTCTATTAGGTTGAGGTTTAAAGGGTGTTACTATAACACGTTATCCGGCCACGGAAGAGCCATATTGCTATTAAACTTTTACCAACTTTCCGTTATTCCCATATTTGTTGTCGACTAAAAGTGAATCAAAACAAAATATCAATTATAAAATATGATTCATAATTCCTTATAATATGAAAATAAATTAAACTTGATCATTTTTTTAAACAATATGGTCTGAAAATATGGAATGAGAAAAAAAGTATGTTTCACTACTATATAAATTTATATAGTTTGGCTTAAACACACGCTTCTTCATACGTTTTCATGCTGACGATGCGATTAAAAATTAGAATCATTTAGATCTCTTTTCCTCGGTACCGATATGAACCCGCCTAATAACTAGTTATACGTGTGTGCTCATTACAACAGAACTCGAGGATAACTCGAACTCGTTGATCATCGAATAGGATGCTCGAATCGTGAGATTCTGTATGTAGTAACTTTGTAATAATAGTTCATCTAGAACTCCTCCACTCAAAGTACCAATAGACGATCCTAGTACGTGAGTTAGAAGATTAACCTGTTTATATCGTCCACATTGTGAGAATCTCGTTTTACGATGTCGGGTTTCTCACCAAGATAGATACGTATATAGCAGAGGTCGAACGCGATAATATGCACATTTACATGCAAAGTTATGAAGATCTTATTAAGAAAGGATCGAAATATCAATTTTGTATGACAATAAATGATAATGATCCTTAATTCACATCGAGTACGATATATGATGCGATTAATAGTGTAAAATAAGTTATCTACGCTCGTCAAAGAAAGCGTCAAAAACACTTTGCATATATGCTGCAAGCATAAACCTAACGTAAATTCTGTAATAATTTGCCAATTATTTGTAGTAAAATTCTCGGTACATTATAACAAAACTAATATCATATCGTAATCGAAATGTATAATACATTTTCATGATGTTTAACTTGTGGAGATTTTTTTCTCTCAATAAATCAGATGTCTATGGCAAAGAACGCTCCTTCGTGAAAATTCGGTTGTCGCCGACTCATGCCTCCGAAAACCCACGGCGGTGAAGTTTGAAAGAGATTTCACGAGGATTTCAGAAAAGACGTGAAAGGATCATGCGGAATATAAGTCTAAGGAAACGGCGGATTTAATTTCAGACCATAATTCTTTCTGTGGGATTTCTATCCATTTCTACGACTGGGCATAGGTTTGCGAAACAGCGTTGCGGTCTATGTCATTATACAGTTACTAGAAACTGAGAGAAACAGCTCTCTGAAGCGTATTTGAATTGCATTTGTATACGAAAACAAAATAATGTCGAATATCAAACCCACAAGTTTGTTTTACACGCAAATCCAAATTGACAGATTCTCTAAAACATAAAAATACTATGCAGAATAGAAAATAATATACAATTTCACTATTTTTTTAATAATAATAATAATATTCTATATAATAATATTTTAATAATAATATTCTAAAATTTGTAAATTTGTTTATCTTTAAAAAAATTGCATTAATCAGTTCAAGTTCGCTACATTGAATAATAATGTAATGTTTACATGTAGTATTCATATAAAATCTATCAAATTTTATTAAAAAATGAAAATTTCATTGGTAATAAATATGCATTATTAATATTTTATCAAAGTTTAAATTAATCTTCGAATTAATCTTTAAATCTCGTGATTACTAACGATTCCATAATATTGAAAAACTTAACATATAATTTGACCATAAATTTACAATTTATGCGTATTAAAAATTTTAACTAAACTTTAACTTTAACTTAATTGAATTTAACGATAATGTATTAGCATCTATTTTTTATTTATTGAGAATACTATCATCATATGTGTAAGAAGTTATAAAACTTCTTATATTCGTTACTATATTTTACATTGCAAAATATAGTGAACTTTATTTTTCTACTTACTCTTGCTTTCTTTAACGCCTCTATTAAACTAGGCGGTCTTGTGAAACTTATCGCGTCGACGTTATGCTAAACTAGAAAACTGTTCGAGAATGTATGTGACGTAAAACGGGATCGTTTTTTGCTCACAGCGGATTCCAAAAAAAAGTTGTAAACTTTTATGAATTTCCCGACCTCGTCAATTTCATACTTTTGCTTAAAGGTATGAAGTCGATGTAGCCGGTTCGTTCTTACGAAGAATTTAAATGCTCGCCACTATTTTCTTAAATTTTCTAATAAACTTGTCTCAAATCAACTACTCGCTGTTATTATATCATGGCAATATCATGAATATTATGTATTTTATATGGTGTGTAGTTTATGTAGCATCTAAGAATATCGATTTTCCTAATCTGTCTTATTATACTATAAACTTTTAAAATATTAACTATGTATTACTTATTGTTAACTATAATTATTACTACGACTATTATTATTGTATAAACTGCTGTTGTATAAACAAACTGTTTAACATATCAAACTATGCCTGAAAAAACTGTTGCATGTTAAATCATTTTTTTTCTATGTGATAATAGCTATCCGAGCAAAGAGATAAGCACCACTTGTTCCACAAACTTACCACATTTTTCTTTCATGCAACCCAGCAATTTAGTTTATCCATATTCATAACAGTTTTACGAGATCGAAAACCGCTCGATCTTCATCACTTTCGCGGCAACTTGTGACAAGACCTGATTAAAGTTGATCTCCTTCAATGACAGAACATATCTCTATTATTAAGAACTTTATCTTCTAGAATGACGTTTTATCATTTACTATATCAATAATCAATCTTGGGGATAATCAATCTTGGGAATTCCAATGCCTCTTGAAATTTCTTCTAAATATTAGATTTTATATTTTAAGGATTAGATTCAGGATTAAATTTTTCCGGCATTATTTTATATTTAGATACGCCATATAAATCTTGTATTTTATATTGAACTTGTAAATATATAGTCCTACAATAATGCACAATTGTACGTTTCATGTCTGCAATAACACAGTTGAAAAAATTAACGTAACGTATTATTTGCAACGTTTGATGCATGTTCTTATGCACGGCATAAAAGATGTATTTTCGGAATGGTCTTGTTCCAAATCATATCCCGAAACAATATACATTATTCATCATGTTAACCACGACTTATATCGACAGTATCGTTGTTCGTCACATTCACGTGCGATCCTAAGCGGCTGCGGACGACCGCTTAGCTAAACGATTTCTCCGCAACTTGTCAACGCGATGACGTACGATCGACATAGAAACACAGGTATAACACCCCGCGTGAACACTAAGCACGTGAGCGGAAAGTACATACACGTCAAAGGGAGCTTCGCTACTCGTGTCAATCAGCATCCTACGTGTATACATGTACATGTGTCGCGACATGATCGACAAGCGAACAGGAGTCAGTTCACAGGATTCGATAACACGCGTACAAAGACTCAAGGCTAGTAATTCTCTGAGAGGTAAGCTAAATTACAATTTCGATACTCATGCTTAAATTACTTCGTATCAAGCTTATTCGTTTACAGCTTGAAAATATTCGTGATTTATTTAAAAAGTTAAAGAAATTAAAATAATTACTAAACTCGTAAGTAAAGCAGTAAAATAAGTTTACTTTAGCAAATAATTTGTGAATTTATACGGGAACTTTTCATTTTGAGAAAATTAAAGTAAAAAATTAAAATAGTGTTCAAATATATATATAGAACGTATATAGAATAAAATAAAGATTTTACTTATAAATAGAGTGCTCTTAAGCATTTTTCCAGATAAATAAATAAAAGTGAAAATAAATGTGAATTAGAAGCAAAAGTTAATTCATTTGATTAGACAATTTAATTTTCATATAGCATAGAAAATGAGTATTTCGTTAATATTAAAAATTATAATACATTAATTTTAATTATTATGTAAAAAAGGAACTCATTATATAAGCAGTAATTTACTGATCAATCATTAATAATATTAATAACCGCCCCTCATTAATTACTGCTGCTCAATTGAAGCAGAGTGGCTTTAATCTTACCGAATATACGTCGCCATCGTCATAAATTTTAGTCACGGTTTTCGCGAATCGAATTAGTCAGAAAGAAAGCGCTCAGCAGCAATTTCTGTAAGTGGATTTCCATCTCTGCTAGGAATGCCGAAGCTCGTGGGATTACGATCGAGATTCAAGACGTAAGCTAACGCGAACTCAAGTCAGTGAACTAAATAATGAAATCGCATCTTACCAGCAAGTTGCATCGTCCTTACGAAATTTCTCACTTGGAAATATGCCGTTGATGTCGCAGCTAAGATTTGAATAACAGTCGAATCCTTCTTCCGTTGCTCCTCGATCATTGGCATATCTATTTGTATAAAGGACAGGACGAGAAGATGCAACACAAAAATTTGTGATCGGAAATCACTTCGCGTGACATATAAAGAAAAAAAAAGGAAAGAAACGGTCGTTACGCTTGCCATCTCATCGTTTAAAGTAAAATTCAAAAATCATTTCTGAAGAAAGTAATTAGATTCAATTTATAAAGTCTTTGGACGGGTGTGATTTACATTATCCGATTAAAAGTATACTTATAATCGCTAGTAAAATTTTTTAATTAACGTGAACTTCATAACTTCGGTCGCCGGTAATTAGCATTTTTATCACGATCCAATTCAACGTTGAATATTCTATTTGATTTGCGATAAATATTTTCAAAGTAGTTCTCTTTCATTGTTATTAAAATCGAAATTCTTTATATAATTATTTATTCATGTTTAATTTATTAAACATTATGTATTAAGGACACATAATTAATTATAGTATTTTGTTTAATTATAATACTATTTATTAAAAGATTAAAATAAATAATCAAACTGGAAATCATAAAATTAATAAATAAAATAAAATAGATTATATAGAGATTTTAAATGATTTTGAGTACATCATTATAACAGTGCATACAACTGATGTATTATGAACATATCAACTGATGTATTATGCATACCAAATCTTTTTAGTGAAACCGAGTTGCATAAAACATTGGCGAATTTACCAAATAATTCGGGGGAATGTGTCCTCTTATTCCATTTTATCGGCGAATTGTATTTGCAATTTCGCGCGGTTTGGACGCAGCCGGTTCATTTCAATTAACGATAACGTGGTTTCCTAGATTTTACAAAAGAACTAGCTACATTGGTATGAACCTCAGACATGGTAAAAAATGCAAATATCTCGGTATCCGTATCATATAATCTCCAATTAACTCGCGAATAACAATAAAACAGATAATAGGGTATGTTATTTAGTTCTCGCCAAACGCGAATTTTCCAATGTGAAATTGTGAGGAAAAATGTAATGTGCGAAGTTAAATTTTCCGAACTGACGATAAAGTTTTGATCAAATATATGGTCAGCTATTTTTTATATGCCGTAATATTGTAATGATACGTACCAATTTGTTCATATAATCTTTTGGCTTATTTTGTTTATCTTATAATCTTATAAATATAATTGTTTCGATATAACCGATTTTTAAATGGTGTATATAAAATTACAATATTTTATCAAATAATAAATTGTTCTCGTATATGAATATTGATAAATAACTTTAATTGAATTAATTTTCATTTTTTATGGCAAGGCAAATAAAGATTTTCATAATATTTATATTTTTCTCTAAATATTATCAATCTAAAATTTTTCAATAGCTTTTAATATTATCGATGAAAAAGTGAAATAGAAGAGAAAAATTTTAAAAGCTCAAGTTTATATGGCGCAGGAATAATTAGTGTTGAAATCTATTCTTTCCGCTCAGCAGTTTTATATGTATCTTTCATCGATATTTTTTTTAGAACATAAAAAGACAAAGAAAATTACAGACGTTGTATAATTAATCAATCGAATTAATTAAATAAATCAAGTGGAAGTATGATTTTTCACTGATTATGGCGCGATATATGATTAGACCAGCAAATTATTAGTGGTGGATAGTAGCCATTCTGAATCTGACAAACCATAATAACCATGATAAATATATTCGCCATGGCGTGCAACACTCGCGATGTATGATAGGACGCGCATTGTTCCGGAGAAAAGTAGCGCTGGTACCTTCGTGCCATGAGATAACACCGCCTCGTTTCTCACTACATAAACTCATCTGATGCTTACGCATCGATGTCGCCTATACAGATCGAACACTTTGAAATCTCGTTACTAGCTAAGACAAATAGAACAACGATCAAGAGCAACCGAATCCAATCGATTCCACAAGTATCGTAAGACAAAAATCAGAAAAATCTCTAATATGTATAAAGTATGTTATATAAAAAAAATTATTAAAAAATTTTATTTATTAAAAAAAAATTAAATCTCTAATTCGGATCATTTTTGATATTCCCTTTCTTAAAACAATCGCAATACTGAGAACATATGGTAATGGGAATTCAATTCTATTCAAATCAGCCTGATTGATAATCACGACACGCTATAGCGACACATCTTTGTCAAAGTTCTGTTAGGCGTAACGCGATGGTATCAGTTGGCAAGTCGATCTTGAAGGAGTCGCTTTACGCCCACCCGACGAAAAGATGATTAATTATTCGCGTTGCCACATGCGGCTAACCCAAAATCGCCTATTCTTCGATAAGCGTCACAAATGGTGAACGCAGAACATTGTTATGGAAAGGGAGAGAACTTGGCCCTATAGATAAACGACAAACTGATGGTAGAACTTATTATGGAGTCAACGGTGAAACGCGTGATTTAGATAAACGAGCATTTGCGTACAATCATTATTATCATTTTCTGAATGCTCTGTCTCTTGAGATTAAATTCATACTCGCGAATAAATCGTTATTTATATCAAATCGTCAAACGGCTAAGTGTATTTGATTTTTCTTCTTTTCAAATATCTATGTTCTCAGATCTCTGAAACTTTATTCTTTGAATACGCGATTCTACGGAAATTTGATTTTCGAAATCCTTCGATTTGTAGCCGCGTAAGTCTGCAGATTCTATGACCTTTCAGTCTTTGAATCCTTACATTGTTAAATTCTTGAATCCCCGAAGCTTCGTAACAATTGTTTGATTACTTATATCTCTCGAGCTTTGATGCTAAAAGAGAGATGCTTGAGAGCTTGAATATTAAGGTTGGTATATCGCTGAGATATTTTTATTTTAAAATTTGTATCACTACGAGCATCTCCTAGTGTTTTGATGGTACAACATGGATTGCTTTAAAGGATTCATATCGAACGATATAATATAAATTAGTCGACTATCTTTACATTTCTTTCTCGAGAAAAATGTACTGATCTACATGTAACTCTCTCATTATATTACATGCTTTTGTTCTTTCGGTCTGTTCCGGTAGCAAAACCGGAGAATTTGAGGCTAGCAGAAACGACCATTTTCAAGAGGATCCAAGTTTACTTCGCTTTTAGTCAAGCATAACCACTCGCCTGCAATCACGAACAGGATTATCCAATGCTAACGCAAATATCCATATTCTATAATGTTGTGTGCGAAGTAATAAAGAATCCGATATCGTTCTTTGATAGGCTTTAAGATTAGAAGCGAATCATAAAAAGAAGAAACTTTTCAATACTCAAACAGAAGATTTCGGAGATTTAGGAATCAAAAACGTGAACTACGATAAAAATTTTTCGTAGAAGTAATACAACAGTTATCACTGTTGTATTATAATATTAAGTGTATGCATATCACCAATTTTTCAACATATTAATGTAATAATTTTTTTATATTAAACATCTGTTACATTTTACAATAGTAACAACTTTATAAGTTATTGTTAGTATAAAAATCTATTCATACTACTTATATTTAAGACTTATATTTAAGACTAATTTTTTTCTTATTTGTCATACAAACATTAAGAATATCTTTCTTTATTTTACAATTTTGAATAGAAATAAGATAAAATCTTCTTTAAAGTGATATAAACATAAATCTATAAAATAAATTCAAATATAAAATTTAAAACATTTAAGGAAGAAAAAGAGAGAACTTCGAAAAAAATAAGTAAACTTTAAAAAATAGTAAAATCAAATACATTCAAATATTTAATAATCTAATAAACAACAATTTATTCTTAATTACTTCTTAATTAAATTTTTTCTTAAAGTGAAAGATCTAAAAATCTAAATCATCTAAATCATCTTGAATATAATTTAATTTGAAATATAGAGTATTTAGGAGACAATGATAATTATACATAAAGTACGTTATTTATCTGCGTTATGTATTTCACATATATTATGTATAAATATAAATAAAACTATTTTATATACACACATAAATATCTCAAGGATAGCCTTTTGTTACAAAATTATGATAGAACATTTAAGTATATATATATATATACATATATATATATATACATATCCAATGTTATAAAATTTACAAAATACTTAATTTAAGATAGAAATTTGTTCATTGTGTTATAGGTCTCTTTCTTCTCAACGAGCCCAGAGCTTTCTAACAAACAACGCTTCGAATATTTCACCCGTACCATACCTAGCGATCACTATCAAGTCAAAGCGATGGTTGAAATTATATTGAAAATGGGTTGGAGCTATGTTTCTATTATTTACGAAGAAAGCAACTATGGTATAAAGGTAAGTACTTGATCATAATATCCAATTTTAGATTCAATAGTAGTAGTCATAATTTTAGATTCAGTAGTAGTAGTAGAGTCATAAATAATACTAAAGAATGTATCAAAAGTTGAACGTGTCTATTTCTATAATATATTTTTACTAATATATATTTAATCTCTGTTTTTTAAATTACATATGATATACATATGATATACATATGATATAATGTATCAAAGGAATAAAAGATATATAATTTTTATTGCACAATTTTCTCTGTATCTCTCATTAAAATGATTAAAAATTGAGTAATAAAATTTTTACTAATTCAGTAATGTAATTATTATAATTACTGTTAATCTTAAAAATTGCATTTAAATAAATAAATTTTTATATTGAATTTATATTTATAAATAATTATAAATAATGAATATTTATATTTATAAATAATTTTTATATTGAAAATTATATTTTACTCAAACATAATACTTTATTTTAATATTATTATATAATATTATTATATATTATCTACAAAGCTTTCAAGCTAAATCAAATATTTAAATATAAAAATGTAGTAATGTAAATGTTAAATATATAAATTAGTATAAAATTGCAATAACTTTTCTGATGATTTCATATAAATGCATGTAAATAATGAAATTTAAAAATAGCAGATAAAACTAGATATTTTATTATATATTTTATGTTTTCATTTTTCAATAAATTATATAGCAAATATTTAAAGAATATTCTATTCTATGTTTAAAATTAAATAATCTTCATATTTAATACATAATCTCTAATAATTTACTATTTTTTTTGTATCATATAAAAATAGTATTGCAAATCTCTTTTTTTTAGAGATGCTGACATTTGCACACACAACATAATATGAGTGATATTAATAAAAATTACTTTTCCTAATTTTAATATTATGTATCTAAAATTGCTATCATAATTTTAAATATCTTATAGAAATAAACAGCATATTCGCTGTGAAATAATATAAAATTGAAATTATGTATGAGTGATAATAAATATATGAGTCGCTTCGAAATCATTTCATCTAAATAGGTCTTTACGCGACAGCTCAGTAGATAAACAGGTCGATAAATCGTAATATTTGCAGGAAATCAACATGGAAAAACGAGAATAAATGTAAAGTGAACTGGTACTTTATTCGCCGACATGATCCATTATAATAATTCACATAGCGCGAAAATAATTTCGACTCGACCCTTGAATCTCTCATCACGCTTTCGCAATCCAGTGAATATTTAGCATTACGTGAAAATCATGGTGTTGTTTACAAACAACTGTCAAATAACTCGAAAAAAACCATGATATTTATCAAATTTTTTTCTTTGTCTTGCAATGGTGATATTCTAGCCCTATATGCGAGTTTCTCTATGTTTTTCTCTTTTTCTTCTCTTTTTAGTATTTCTAAATTGCTACCATGAAAATTTCATATATTTTACTATATTTCAATGACATGCTTTTAATTAAGATTACTTTAAGTTTGTGGCAAGTCTATTTCACCAAGTTGTTTGATCTCACTGAATGTCCAGAAAACAAATTTCACAAGCAACGTAAACTTACAAAATTTATAATTATAGAATGTTTATTGAAAATTTTCTTCTATTAAATATTTCAAACTAAATACTTATAATTAATTGATAAATACTAATAATTGTTAAGCAAATGCTTTAAATTACAAAATACAATATATGTACGTTTATGTATGTTTCATTCAGAGATTTATCATTTTCTTCAACATCGGCGTTTTAATCAGAAAATTGACATTCCTGTGTTCTGAATGATATGATAGAATTATTATCTCACTAATCGTTATATCCAGTTATTATTAAATTACTCATTATTTCAACTACCGCGATAGTAATATTCATGTCATATTATTCATATAACTCTCTCATATAGCTTGCATATAAAATAGGAACAGTCTGTAATCATCGATTACAGGATATTGGAAATCGTAAATACGATAGTAGACGCGATAATTTAACATCTGGTTCCCGTTTATACAAATTATTATCTACTAGCTTGCTTTTTGCATCAAATTGTTTTCCTCGATAACATAAAGACAAATAATGCAATAAACAAACCCTTCATAACAATGTATTTTCATGAAAATTGCGTAATTTGAAATTTTGTCAAGAATATAATTTAAAAACCGGAATAAATAACATCAAACAAACAATTTTTATTAAGTATTACGTAATATTATATTATTTCTCTTCACAAATTATTTTGTGTAGAAAACGCAAGCAAATTACATGACAAACATAGATGCAATAGAGAAGAAAAGGGAAAGAGAAAAAGTCGTAAATGAATTTAATCGTGCATTCGCGAAAAAAGGCTATAATTGAAAAAGAAAAGACATTTCCTATCGAGATAGATCTGGATGACTTGACTGTACAATAACAACAAATACTGATTTAATAAACGAACGTTATTTAATGGGATAGTATCTGCCTAGCCATGTATCCATTTTCAATTTGAAAACTAATCCGTTTGATGAGTGTCTAATTGAGAAGTATATCAAAATAATACTTTTACCAAGTGAGGAAACAATAATTGACGACCTTGTAGTTTTATCTTAAAAACGAGAATATACCATTCTCAATCGGTTGCACGTCATGAAAAATACATAAGCGTCCTTCTATGACATTTCGCCGAGAAATATATTTTTCCACGTGCATATACACATTATATATAAAACGCACGCGTATCTTATTATTTCTGTAACATATTCCATTTTGGCATTTGTCTACGATCTAGAAAACTAACACGAAAATTTATCGAGAAACAAATTTTCTTTTCTCATTTTTTCTTTTCAATCTACTTTCTTTATATTCTTTCTGCCATATAATAGCCACATAATAAATAAAAAAGTAACGAGCTGAAAATAATGAGATGTCTCTTCTTTTGGGAGAACGTCTCTTTTATAACATCAATACACATGTGTCCTTTGTACACATAATCAAAAAATCTGCGATCGTTATAAATTAGAAAAATATTTTACAAACTTCAATGTAAGCTTCATAATCTATTCGAGCTTATTAATTTCAAGGCAATGAATTATGTTCACTTAAACTATGTTTTAATTCTTAAATCTTTAATTTTAATTAGTAATAACAGTCGAAATAAGTAATATAGTCAAATATTTTATTAAATTAATATTAATAACAGAATATTCTATTGCTATATTCATTATTTCAAATAAAAATTTAATTTATAACGATTATACTAATAATCGTTAAAAAAATTGGAAATTTTTCGCGATTCTTTTATATATTTTATCTTTCGGATATATATTTTATTATGTCCAATATATTTACAAAAAAATCCATTGCCTTAAAATAAAAATGGAAAATTAACTCACCGATCGATGCGCAGCAGCGGAGTTGTAACATTAATCTGTAACAAACAAACATAAAATATTAAAAACATAAAAACAATGTTGAAAATAATCTATACAAAAAAGAATAATCGCGTGCATCAAAGATTTAAATCGTTCTTTAAACGAGTATCTGGTTAAAAAAATCAAAAACTCTAATCGCAATCTAATCGCAATTGTTGCTAATCGTTACATATTTCAATTAAATTGTTGTCGTATAATTAAATCACGAAAAATACATCATTCTAATAATATTGCGATCGTGTAAATAAGCAAGAGATGCCATGTTTGATTTTGCAACATTATACGGATGTATCATGTTAGAAGATCTCAAGGAGACGAAAAATCCATGGGATAGCAAATAATAATCTAATATGACAATTACTTACCTCAGGGTTGCTCCGCCGATGCCCGATGCCTCCAAGGCCTCCTCCTCCTCTCGGCCTTTTGTCGTCGCTTCTTCACGTCACACTTACACTCCCGTTCACTCTCGAAAATTACGTTGACATAACTTTACGAGACGACGCGCACTTTGTTAGGCGGCGAAAGACAAAAGAATAACGCACGAATAAAATTAGTGCCGAGATCCGCCCGGCAAGATGTGACGTCACGCATCTAACAATACGCACACTATATGAATGTAACATTGTGAAAATTTTTAAATCGTACTTCACTCTACAGGAACAGCAATTGCTTCTATTTGTCTTTTTGAAGACTTTCCGTATATAATGGAATTACCTTTGCGTATTCCAACATAAATCTGCGAATGCGCATTGAGATCAAAGATAAATATCCACGGAATTTGATATTCTAAATTATATAATTGTGTAGTCGATGTCCACTCAACAGATTTCGCTTAAGTGAATCTTAAAAAATGGTCATATCTTAAAAAATGGTTGATTTACAAATATCAAGTCAACTCCCTATCATCAAATATCTATCAAAATACGAAGTTAACTTTTGCTAATTAATAATTATTATTATTCACTGATTAAATTATTCACGTATTAAATTATTAAACGTATCGTGGTATTATTTCGTTTAGAATCCATTTGTTCTTTATTCCGATATTTCAAAAATGACGGCAGTAACTTCCCGATATTGCGCAATACGAGAAAAATTAACGATTGAGAAAAGTTGGTTATTCGAAATATACAATCGTAATTCAATATTATTCAAAGCGATTTAGTTCGAATGTATAAATTTTACGAAACCCGCTTTAAGTGAACGATATATCACGGCTTTATCTAAATCGCTCGACCTGACGATCGTGTATTACTTCACACTTCAGACCGAGAGAGAACGAATTACGTTTGAATCGGTAAACGAAACTCAACAAAGCGCGACGCAAGATCGATTCGAATTCAAGAGTGCCAACAAAGAAATCATTATTACCTATATAACGAAATAATGCTTTACAATATTTGTTCCTCGTCGCTTCGGTTCAAACAATCGCTTTTAACGATTACCACTGAGAAATATCTGTTTCGGAAAGCGTTTACTCGGTACATTAATGATTCGTTAATCATGGAGAGTTAATTAAACGCACGAGATGATCAATTGATAGATGTATTGGACAGCGAAGAGGTAATTGCGTCTCGAGAATGCGATATGTATGGAACGATGTATACCGCTGCTCGCTCGGCATGCGAATGATAAGCACGGCGATCTTGTATACACAATCGCGCACATGATAGCGAGCGTACGGCGCTCGAAGTCGTTACAAAAAACAAATGCTCAGACGAATGTTTGTATACACAAATCACTACGCGGTGACTTGCGTACACATTCGAATAAATAGTCGGCTCGCTCCGTTCGTCGCGTTACTTAAATAGTCGGCTCGCTCCGTTCGTCGCGTTACTTCTCGAGACGGGATTGTTCCCTTTTTGTATTTGAACATTGACTATGATCTCACATGATTGATTAATTTTTCTATAATTAACAAATACATCAAATATATTGAATAATTGGGACAACTTATTAAAGTAGATAGTTTACGTGATTTAATCGTTCTAAATATGATTAAATTAGCAATTAGAGACTTAACATCGTTTCATCATATCATAAATCATTATATCATAAATCATTGTTTCATCATATAAAATAATTTTTATGCTCGAATTGCAATTTAATAATAAAGTCACCTTAATTATTACATGTTAGTAAATTAATGCAAAATAAATTTTATTCATTACAATAGACTTTAGATTTTAATACACAATAATCCATTTATCGATATATATTATCGTGTATTATCGTATATCTAAGGTCTATTGTATGAGTAAAATTTATTATATATTTTATATTAACAACAAGTAATAATTTATATAAATTGATTTATTACCTTCATTTTCCGTCGATATTTTAAAAAGTGCTGAAAATATAAAATCATGTGATTTTTAATGAATTAAGATTTTTTTCTCTACATTTATCAGTACATCAAAAAAATGAAATTAAATCGTTACAAATCGCATTTGTTTTTTTGATTTAATTTGTTAAAAATATAAAATTTTATTCTTCTTGGGATATAAAAAAGCAAGTGATAGATTTAATAATCTAGTATGAAACTTTAATACTTATGAGAAGTTTAATCCTACTATGTATAAGCGCATGCACGAATATGCGCACTTGAGAGACGTGACGCGAATTTAAACAATAAATCATCCCTCGTATCTACTTATCCGCATAACATGTTTTCTCAATTTCCGTTCATTAAAATAATACTCGATTATTTTAATTATTATATCAGTTGAGCATAAAGCTTCCGCAATAAAGCTTCCGTTTTAAAACACGCGAGGAAATATAACGCGAGATATATAACGCTCAAGAATGCAATCACATCGTTGCGCGTAATTCTGGGCGTCAAATTTGCGTGATCATGGTATTAATCATACAATCGTCGCATTTGCGAGCAAAAGCCGATGATGGATGTGCCCACATTAAATTAATATTTCGCGAGCATACGTACGCGACACGTACGAGCGACGCAGTTAACACGCAGCCATATTTTGAGGGTACAGAGAAATGGCATTTCGATCTATTACCTCGCGTAAGGCCGCAACGGTTAGCGACACGATCAAAAGAAAAGGCCGTTCCCGTTACCCAACCGATCAGAATTTCATTACCGCCTATCATATACGTCGCCCTGTACGTGTCAAGTCGCGTGCGCTTGATAGAATTTACGCCACAATATTCTGCTCTTCGAACGAGCGAAGAGGGGAAAAACGGAGCATTACGTTCATACCATAATTAGATTCCTCGCGAAATACGCGGACTACATAACGATCGATCTTGCGTGGTCCACGTTATTGGCATGCCGAGGACTAGGAGATTTAGTCGGAAGTTACTTGCCGGAGTGCCGAAGTGCCGGATACGATTTCGCAGTAGCTCCACTCCAAAAAAAAACAATTTCACAGTGTATTTTTGCGCATTAAAGCAGCCATAAATTTTTCTAAAAGCAAACACGAGCGATAAAATTCGACATTTAGAATCTTAAACAAAACGAAGAATAAAAGTAATAGCTCAATATTTGATTTTTAAAAACGATCAATTACAGAAAGAATACATGTGCGAAATATTTGTCCACTTATAAGTGAAATTTAAATATGACCTTTGATTGGCGAGAAAAAAAACATTACGATTTTTTCCATCTATAGGAAATATGGTTTTTTAACTATTTTCCTCGTGCTTTCACGCTATTCATGATGTTTTGCAAAAGCAAAAGTGATAAAATACATAACGACATAAAATTCGCGAAATACAGAAGTGATTGTAAACGGATACGCGGAGGATAAAAATACTGAAAAAGTCAAAATACAAAAAGATCTTTAACCTGATAAATATTTAAGAGCTTCGAAAAATCTTGTATAGCCTTCCCTTAAACTTTCGTCTCCTATCCTCTCGAGATATCACATCTAATCTTCCGTGATCCTTCCCTTTGCCGTAAAACTTTCAACTATGGAACATTCTTCATATATAATGTAAAATATTTAAATTCTTTCATATTTTTAAAGTCAACAATATTTCATGCTTATCACATTATTTCTTTTTGCTCTTTATTCGTATCATTTTAAAGGGCGGAAAATTCTGTTAAAAAATTCATTAAGTAAATGTAACGTAGTCACAGCTATGTTTACAGATAAAAGTTTCTCGTACAGTAATTTTAAATCTCCTTGTACAATATGGAACATCATCTCCAACTCATAATATTAATAAAACCTGTAGATAAATAAATTTAATAAATATTAGAAAAAATGTAAATGATTCTCGCTTCACGAGACCTTTAATAATAAAACATCTTTTATATATTATCAGAAATTGATATTTACGTATATCAAATTCGATCCTTGCGCGAGAATTGAAACAAGAGCTATTATAACGTTTAACAGCGTTATAATGAAGAAAGGACCGCGCTTCGAATACATAATACATAATATATATGTATACATAGGAATTTGAAACCACCTTCCAGTCAAGTGATTTAACTGCTAATTTATCGTAACTTGTGGAACAATGATTCGCATTGACCGGAGAATAATTCATGCATATTGGACTCGATACTAAGCTGAATGCATATCTTTTGTTAACATATATTTATATTTCAGTATTTTATTTTAAAAAGATTAAAATATGTCGTTTCGTTATTGATAATAAAAAAAATATGCCAATGCAATTTTAACGATCGAGCGATTAAGCGGATTTTGCAGTAATAGAATTAAATCACTCTGCGTGATGGATAAAAAAATATGGAAATTTTTATTTTTATTGTTGAAAAATCATTATGTCGCGTGAAACCTTAGGGAAAAAGTAAAAATATGGGAAAAGGAAAATCATATTAGTATGTAACTACGTTTTTCTATATGTCGACGCGACCAATCGATAATACTATTCGCGATGGGATTGGAAATCAGCGATCTCGGCGCGACATACGGATTGCATACGAAAAATGTGCACAGAGAGAGCGGTCTAGGAGGAGCAGATCGATACGTGAACACACACACATATATATATATATATACATATATACATATATATGATTTTGTGGCACGAAGGGAACATTTTTCAACGAGCGGTCGAAAGCGCGGAACAAATGGGGATTTTTATTACAAATATCCATTTGTTCGACAAAGTAACGGAGTTTTTCCACCTCACCATCAAATCTCACTGTAGAATTTCAATTGCGTGATTCATTTCATGATCAATAGAGCGAAACAATTTCGATGATGCAAATTCGACTAAATTTCAGCATTCTTCAACTATTATAAAGACATTTTTAACCATTCTATCGATAGAAAAATATCCCTACAAACAATATGGAAAGCTCGTAATGAATTTTTATATTAAAATATCATTGAATTAATTTTAGTTTGCTATTGTTTAAGCCATTTGATTCAAGTTGACAAGAATTATTATTGTGAATGCGCTGTTTCCTCAAATATGAAACAATAATAGCAGTGTTTTCCTACAATGTATTCACGTCTCTAAGAGGCAGATATCAATACAGTGATCTCTGTTATTTAAAACATGAATTTTTTATGCAGCCTTTCAAAAGGCAAGAATCTTTGGATGTTCCATTTAAATCTATATTTTTCCATTAAGGTTTTCGTTCCCACCCTTCTATTCATTCTTTGCTCCCATCTTTCTTCCAAAAGACCTCAAAGCACTACGTGCGTTGCTCGATGAAGGCCACGAACGGGCCCGCATTAGATACGATGCATTGTTGGAAACGTCTTCAAGAAAATGCATCCCTTTCTATCCCTCTGCGTTACAGGCTTTCGAGGAACTCGAGGAACTACTAGGGAAAAATAACATATGTATTGCCGTCAAAGAAAAGTTGGTGAAGGATTCCGGAGTCGCCGAGGAGGTTGTCTACGATGGAATAGTTTCAAAGTTGTTGACAAAACCACGAGCGAGAGGTAAAATAAAGATTCAATAAATTA